TATATCTGCGTCATGGGCCTGCTCTATTGGAAATCGACTTCCCCTTTCTGCTAACTCGCTTATTTCCATTTCAATTAAATGATCTTTGAATTGTGGAGAGTTGTCATTTATGTCTTGAATATGAAGACTTACACGATGAAGCTCCAACGGATTTTCCAAAACTAGATCTGCTTTTAACACACAGGAAGGTTTCTTGCCACAAAGGTTCTCTCTGTCAATTCTGTCCATCGTAGTAAAATCCCCAGTACTAATGTTAATGTCGCAATACATTTTACGAAATCCTTCAAAATCAACACGGGCCTGTCGTGAAGAAAAACTTCCACGGTCAATACCGAGATCCTTAGCTATATTTCCAATAACGAAGTCGCGTTTCATCTCTTCGGCAAAAGAATAACTCAGATCCCCGCTTACGAGGCGCATCGTTACAATAAACGTAGCAAGGCAATAGATCGGGCCTGAAAATCCTTTGTCTCTCATCCTGAAATGAAACAACGTCTTCCGCTTGTTTATCTGGCTATTTAGAGCGAAACAACATATGTATCCCAAATCAGTCAGAAATCCAATAGTCCACACCAGTTTATACAGAACTATGTCCCAGGATTTAGCGTTTCTGATAAATGAAAAAAAAAAAAAACTGAATTCATGATGGGTGGAGTGCTGCATGTTCTTTTTCTTCCAGCCAACAGTGACACCATGTGTCTTTTTAACTTCACATCCGCGTTTGAATAAAACTTCAAGTCAAAAAAGAAAGAAAGAAAGAAAGAAAGAAAGAAAGAAAGAAAGAAAGTATATTATAATGAAAATAAACTAAACAGTACATGAAATATCAGCAATTATAGCTACAGAATACAAATGACAAGGCTCAGAACCATGGACAGCGGCAGAGAAAATACTTAGACCGTTTTTATACAGAAAAGACAAATGCTGCAACAGTCGCACACACACACAGTTAGAAAAAAGCAATTGAAATGGCAATTTCAATCATTTATTTCCGATTTATAGCAACTACGTTCATTAAAATATAGATAAGCAACAAATCAGAAGTAGACATAGTCTTTTTGCGGAAAGTCGGTCCTTATACTAGAGTAGACATTATTAGAATGATGCATCGATGTACAAGTGTCATCTTACTGCTGATGGACGTGACTATAATTAAACACATTACATGCATTTTTGTACATTGACTCACAGCTTTATAACATATGCTCAACACCGTTCGGGAGGTCACGAGATAAACCTGAGGTCGTGTAACTTAAAACGGAAACGCACGCACGCGGTCGGACTATATCTATATGTGAACTTGGTGTTATGTTTGACTTTTTAAATGCTGAAGTGATGACACCACTTTGAACACAAACAACATGAAGCGTTGAAAGGGAAATCTCTTAATGGCTAAACTCCAGCTATTCATAACCATGAAGACAAGACAGTACCTTTATGAAATCTGCAACAATACACTGCGTTGTACAAGCTTCATATGGTATTTCTTTATCTGAGACAAAAAGCAAACAAAGTACTACTTGTCCAAGTATGGAACGCCAGGACTGACATAATAAATTAATTATACCATTAAATAATTGATTAAATGTGGCAGTAATTAATTACAATTGGAAATAATTAATTAAATAAATATTTTTGACACATTTAATTAATTAAATAATTATTGCCACATTTAATTAATTATTTAATGGTATAATTAATTTATTATGTCAGTCCTGGCGTTCCATATCCAAGCAGCAAAGGAAATATCAAAGTAAAGTACAAGTCAGTCAACACTGCACTTCTTTGAATTTGAAACTGAACTTCTTTCTTAATGTCATCCATGAGTTGTGGACTACAACAGTCTCACCGGGAACACACGACACCTATTCATTTTTACAGAGTCAGTGCTGCAAATGTTAGTAGCTAACCAGTATTAATGAGCTCGCTGGCATTTGACAACCACCTAACAAATCCGTATGTTTGTTGGTTTTAAGTTTCATGTTAGTGTAGTGGGTTAGATTTTGTAGAATATGTTTTGTTCCTACATGGTGTCTGTGAACGCAGCGTGAACATTTAATGGTACCCTAGCGATCTAATCAGAGGTTAGCTATGAGGAGCAGCTGTGGCCTATTCACTGATTTAGCGTTTGGTACTCATTTCTCCCATATATGGTGACGATCACAGCCTGATCTTAACGTTGCAGATCAAATTCAGTCGAGTGGTTAGGATCCTCGTATGAAGTCTGCAGTTTAGTTAATAATAGCGTGGACCAAGGATAACTGTTCTTTTCTCTTATTATAGGTACCCTGCTGCCATCTTGTTGAGTCTTGTTATTTCTCGTTGTTGTTTTCAGTGTCCTCTAGTGCCTTGTTTTGTTTTAACTTTGCTTTGTTTTATCATGTTTAATCTTGTCCTGTGCAGTTTGTGCCACACCGCACTTTGTTGGGGCCAAGCGTGGGTGCGCCTGATGCTGCATTTCTGTGGTATTTTAAAGGTTTTATATGTAGATGCATACACTCCTCTTCTGTTTATTTTTCACTGAGTAGTTCCCTATTTCTTGCTTGTTTTATCGGTTTATTTCACTATAGGTTTATTTCACTTTAGGTTTAGAGACGGACGCTTGCTGGGGGGCTAGGCACATTTGGTCAGGTTGCCTCTTATGCATGCGAGTGTAAACGCCGGGATACGATTATAAAGCGCCTTTAGTTGCAGTGACAACTGCAATGCGAGGTGACGAGTGAGTAACTGGTGGCAGTCCTTGGGCACTACTCCCTGTAGGTTGCCTCCAGAAGTGACCTGTATTTAACTATATTAATTGGCTTTTTGTTGAGCTGCTATTTTACTTGAAGCAACACAGTGAGTCTTGTAGTTTTAAGCCATGTCTGCTAGTGATGTTTTATTTTAAGGTAAAGTGGTATTGGAAGTCCTGCCACTAAATTTGCTGTTGTCTTTGTATCTCCACATTATTCAGATAATGCATTAAACAAACCTATTGACAATGACTTGCCACGCCTCTTCTTTGTCAATAACAAGCCCGTGTGTCTTTGTAACTGATAAAACCTTTGCACTGGTTAATGTTGTTCTCAAAGGTGTGTTCCTGGGGTGCAACTCCAACACCAGGTGGCGTTATCAGTTTAGTTACATTGTCAGTTTCCTTCTCTGGCGTCACAATGGGATAGAAATAAACATGTAGCGCTCACCATCCAATAGACTGTCAACACACCTTTGAGAACAACATTATAACATGCGGTAACACTAATGTATACCGAGGTACAATGTGGATGTACATGAGATGACAAAGAATTGAGCACAAGAAATTAGATTATCAATACTGACAGCAGGAAGTGATGAATATCTGACAGCTATTGTTTCGGTAGTTTAAAAAGTGATTTAGTCATTTTAATGCTACATTGATGATGATAATAATACCCATTAAACATAATTGTGATTTACGCACAGAACGTCCCTTCGACTGGTCACTTACTTCCCCGACTATCGCTACCGTGGGCGGCTAAACGTTTTAATTTGACGTCGGATGCACTTCCTGACGCAAGCCCGGGGTTTCCCCTCTGTGCCTCTTTAAAAAATAGGAGGGATCCGTTCCTTAAACAACGAATGCGTTAACCACTTCACCACAAAATTAACACGGGGACTTTCGAAATTACATGAACTAATAAGTAAATCTTGAGTATAGGACCTTTGTTCGTCTTTCATGTGAAAGATCATTAATAGTACTGGTGCCGCCATCAGTAAATCAGATGGTTTATGCGACAAAGTGTATCATCAATTTACTAATCATTACTTGTTAATTTAATGCCGTTGTTTATTTCGAGGTACTTTGCAGTGTTGTAAAAGCTGACCAGAAATCAGAGTGAAACTTGACTCGTCGTCAGAAGAGTCTAAAAAAATACACTGAAAGTTTCGGGTTGGAAATAAAAGGAAGTTGGTTACGTTCCAGTTTAATATTAATAGCTACGTTTCGCTATAAGCAACCCCCCAAGATTGACTTTGTTTGTAATATGATGAAAGGCGTTATTTTGAAAAAAATTTAAATTCATACACAAACACACAAAAAAATGCAAGAAAGGGGAGGTACTATAGGAAAGACCCTGTAAATAACAAGAAGCCTCGGGTTCTACTTATCAAAGACAATACTATAAATGTAAAAACTTAAAGACACAAAACACTGCAATTTTGATAACCCGGTTATTTCAGAATCCTACCTCTATTGAAGTATCGAGATCTTCAAATGATCAGCAAAGTCTGATGGACTTTTCTTCAGAGTCTGGTCAGCAGGCAGCGTGTTGTCATTGTATGATGTCACAAACTTAAAGTCACTGGTTCTTGAACCTGTGGTCAGGTACGCATCATAATTGTAAGTGCTGCGTAAAGTTCCTGTGCCATCAACATCTGCGTAATTAGGAGGGAGATAACCGCTGGGGATGGCAACTGCTCCATCAAACAACAGTCTGGGCTTTCTCCTGCGACAAAACCTCAAACCCAGGATGATGATGATGAAAGTCAGAAAAAACGTGGACACAGACACCAGCGCGATGATCAGATAAGAGGTCAGTTTGGAATTGCTCTCATTATAAGACAGATCCTTCAGTTCTGGCACCTCAGCCAAGTTATCAGAAATAAGTAAATACATGGAACAGGTGGCAGACAGAGAGGGCTGTCCGTTATCTTTCACTGCCACTACAAGGTTCTGTTTCATGCTGTCAGATTCAGAAATGTCCCGCTGTGTCCTGATCTCTCCGCTGTGGACACCAATAGTAAAAAGTCCCGGATCAGTGGATTTGACTATTTGATAGGACAGCCAGGCGTTCTGTCCGGAGTCCGCGTCCACCGCGATCACTTTGGACACCAGAGAGCCTCCGTGTGCAGCTTTGGGGACCAGCTCGGTCATGAAGGAGTTGCCCTCTGGGGAGGGGTACAGGATCTGAGGAGAGTTGTCATTCACATCTGAGATGAACACACTCACGG